GCAGTTCCCGGTTGGCAGACGTGATCAAACGCCTGGTGAGCTACTGCAAAAGTTATTACAAAAATAAGTGGAGAGAACGTCAAAGCAGCAGTGAAGATGGGTATGCAGAAGGCAAAGATAATGCAGGGTGGCCCGGCGAAAAACGAGCTTTCGTAATAGAGAACCAGACCCCGGAACCAGTAGAAGAGCTTGCACATTTAAGCAGAATATTAACAGAGGAGCTTGCACACTTATATGAAATTTACCGAATAGCAGTGTTGTACACGTTCGTCCAAAAGGTATACCGAAAGCTCGTTTCTCGTTCCTTCCCAATTTGAGGACGAGTACCCGTTACTAGTTCCCTAAAAGCAATAAGAACTTCTTACAATTAGGTTTTCAAGATTGGAACGTGTCCGTACATAAACGTTACATTTTACTTCTTAATAAATATATAGGGTCGGATAATCCTGAGACAAAGTGAGTGATTCAAATCTTACATGAAGCTACGTATATTTATACGAATTTAACCTCACCGCCAGTAGTATATACGTAGGTAAGAGGAATATAAATGAATTTTATTGGACGAACTTTTATGACATCACCTGCCACTTTTCAAGCTCTTGTGCCTTTGCCACAAATTTTCAGCTCATACAATTAAAGTCTTACAAATGTGGCTCGTCCCACTTCAGTCAGGATGTTGTTCTTCAGATAATCAATTGGAAATATCTGGCAATCGACCCATATAGTAAAATTTCTTGCACAGGAAGTTTTATGAAAAAGGACAACACTAAAGCGTTTATTCGGTGATGATTCAATATTTAGGTGTGATGTTGAACAATAATGTCTAGGATATAAATTAGCAAATTAGTAATGTCCCCAGTTGGTATTCAGAGAAAATATTTGTGCATATTTCATCGAAGAGCAAGGATGGGATGATGCAAATATGGTAGACATTGTCGACTCATGATCCTTAACTTAGCACTGCCCCGCCGTGGTGGTCTAGTGGCTAAGGTACTCGGCTGCTGACCCGCAGGTCGCGGGATCAAATCCCGGCTGCGGCGGCTGCATTTCCGATGGAGGCGGAAATGTTTAAGACCCTTGTACTCTGATTTGGGAGCGCATAAAGAACCCCAGGTGGTTGAAATTTCTGGAGCCCTCCACTACGGCGTCTATCATAATCATATGGTGGTTTGGGGATGTTAAACCCCACATATCAATCAATCAATCGTTAACTTAGCATTGCCACTGAATCGTAAAGGTTATCTTTCAGCGTATCTTGTCTGTTCAGTGTAACAGTGCATCTTGCCAGTTCGAATATAGGGAAAAGAAACCTGGAGAGTATCAAGAATTAAAGCATCAGTGAAGGAATGCCGAGCATTCAATGCAACGACACATGACAGTTGTAACTATAAGACACTTAGGAGGAGTAGGAAAAAAATAAGCGGAAGGACTGGGAGGTTAGCCAGTTCTTAGACCCGGGCCGGCTACCCTGTGCTGCAGCAGGCGGTAAGGGGAGTAAAATATGATGAGAGAGTTATTACGGAAACAGAGAGTGAGAGAGAAAAGGCAAAAGATAGCGAGGAGAAAAAAATTGAAGAGGATAACGACACTAAAGTCTGTCTCTAAAGTCAGTTGTCCGTAAAAAAAAAAAAACGTAATAAAGCTTCAAACGCCTTCTGGGCTGGAGACAGACTCGGCCAATGACCCATAATCCTTTAATCAGACAAAAGGCGAATCATCTGGTCTGTCTAAAGCTCCGGTAATGAGGAAATACCAAGAAACTGAATGCGTGACCGACATTTATAAAAGATTACATGAAAACTGAGAGATTCGGAGACCTCAGCACGTGGAGTACAGCTGGGTCCGAGATTTCAGGGGGAGGTCTTCGTTCTGCGGTGAACGTAGAGCCCGCTGGTGGGATGATAAATCACTAATGTGTGCGTTGCATCAGATTCTCTGTAAGCGATTATTACGAGGACGATATTAATGGTGTAAGGAACAATGCTTAACCAACAGAAGAAAAGGACGTGACGTTTTTTTTTGTTTTTTTCTTAGTTTAACAATCGTTCTTTACACCTTTAATACCAACTACATACCAACATTCCACAATACATATCTGTGGAAAATAATGTCACACGATCTCTTATTTATTTTACAGAGGCAACTCGACAGTGAAATCAATGTTAACCTTCCTTTTCTTCACTGATCCGCTTTTCTGCAATTCCCTGGAGCGATGTAACCTGCGTTCGTGATCTTTGCGTCATGAATTCTTCAATAATTTGTTGTTACGCTCTAAAAAAGAAACTGAATAGCCAATGTTAGATTTATCTTTATCTCCCCGCCGAAACACATTTATAACAAAAGAAAGCAGAACTTGTTGCCAGATTTACCATTTCGCTAGAAACAAAAACTGACCGCCAGTGCGCGCCCTACACTAAAGAGGTACGATGAACGCAAACTGTCAATGGCGTTGAGTGCCGTTAGGGACTTTTCAATGCACCACTGGCGAAATGGCGATGGAGGGTCGGGGCAAAGGAACTTACCTGTGCAAGTGTCGGACAACACTATGTAACGTTGAACGATGGCATGTGTAGCATCAGTCAATGCGCTTCGCGGTATGCAAAGGTAAACTTTCAAAGTGATGATTTCACTAAGCCGGTCTATCTAGGTCAACTTCTACTCTCAGCTTGATAACCCTGTATAGGGAAGGCACAGACGTGCGTAAGGTTCCTTGTTTCTATTAGGGGTGGAGCACTGTGTCCCCCCCCCCTCCATCCACCGATGGTAGCGTCCGAACGAGTCTGAAAGCGAATGAGCTCCACACTGTGTGCAAAAATGCAAATGAAGTGATGATGCGTGCTGCTGACAAAGACTTCCCATAGGTCCCGAGCTTTCCGGATAAAAACTGGGAAGTAAGCAGATTTTCAAAGGCGACATTAGGTGTCCTTGGCTGCCATAACCTCGAAAATCATTTGTAGCCATAGCCCTGCGCATTAAGCAATGACGTAATTGTCCGACTGAGCGAAAAAGTGAGGTATAATTGGCTACACGCTTTTATATAAAAGCTCAATGTGTTTTAGAAAAGGCTCTTAGAATATTAGTTCTTTATGGGCCCCCTAGCAAATTGCATACTGTTACATATGGCTCGTAGCGAACGCCATTGGGCATGGACCTGTCGACCAGGAAGGTTTACTGGGAATCGCCGCTTGAACGGGAAAGCTGAATCTTGCGGTTTCGTGGAAGGTGCTTATACATTTGTAGCACCTGTTCTTGGGTGAATGAGGCAACCTCATTGTGGGACAGAGCCGTTGGGGAGGTTGCAATTGAACCAGGCATTATCTTCCCCTGGACGCCGACGTTTCACTTCACCTTGTTTCTTGACGCAGGGCACAAAGTGGGCCTCGTACTTTGACTTGACACGGTAGGGGAGCACTGCAATGAACTTTGGTCCCTCTAAAGGGGAACGCTTCCCACGCTTATGCTGGTAGGTGCCACTATTTTAAGAAGTTTTGAATGCATGAAGACATGCAACTCACTTGTAAATTTATAATGTATATGCGAACTATATTTCCATTTTTCCTTTGTGTTTGTTCTTGTCCAATGGTTTTATTATCATTATGCATTTTTAAGTCTTACAGAATTCACCCACCCATGTGGGTGTCTAGCATTCTAAAGATGTATGCGACATACTTCAGTGTGGTCATCTATAACGTAACATTGGAAATCACCTTTATTTGGTTTACAGCGAATTCTAGGCTGATTAGCATATCTATGCTTTACGGCTTAAATCCCGCAGATATCGTGTTACATGTAACGTGGTGTTCATGGAAACTCTCCTGCTCGTTTCCATAGATAACAAAATGACAAATGAAAGTCCGCCACGTGGGTACATATGAGGACTGCTAGACAGATGTGTGCCTCTCAGTCATAACCAGTGAATACCTGTTACTTTGGCTGCGAAAATATCGATGGTCAGCTGATAGCTATTCGGTGTAAAGATACATTCCCTTTGAGGTAAATGCCATTACTGCGCGCTTTTTCGTACTATCTGCAGTAAATGTGCGGCTCAAGCAGTGTAGAATTCGACGTCCGATTAGATGTCGGCGGAGACCCGAATAGATGTTGGGCGTTTTCGACGAGTGCTATGAAGACTGACCTGAAGAAAACTTAAAAAAAAAAATCCGGGTGGTACTTTCAATAATGAAAGAGTGGTGCTGATCGGTGCCTAACTGTTTCGGACCATATGAAGTGATTCCAAGTTATACGAGGTAATGCAAAATATTTTTAAGTTATACGAAGTGATGCCAATTTATTCCAAGTTCCAGTTGAGTCCAGCACAGTCGTCGCTCAATGTTTCCATCGTAGTACGTAGTCGTCTTCTTCTTTAAACGATTCGAGTCCAGCAGTCTCCTCATTCCCGCATATAGCACCGCGTACCACTACCACATGCCGAATATATACAGTAGGAAGGAGCGCACACACAGTTGGCAGAGACCTCATTGTCCAGGCGGGCGGGCTGGTGGCGGAGCAGTGCATGCGGTAGCGACGCATGCGCGCAGCCGTGCAAGTGGTTGCTAGGCAACACGCGGTTAAGTTATCGCGGTGCGGTAATTGTAGCAGTGAAGCTCCTTAGGTCGGCACCTCGCAGTCACTGACGAAACTCCCTGCACCGGGCAAGCGCGCCGAGCAAAGCAACAGGTGCGCGCTCATGGCGCAGTGGGAGCGTAGATGGCGCTGCACACTCACCCGCTCAGTCGTATCCCTCCACTGAGCACGGCATACGCTCCCCACCCAACCTACTATCTTCATGGAAGCAGGCAGCGAGAGCAGGCACATAGTCATTTTTAGTAGTTTTCTTTGTTTGTTTGAGCAGAATAGATTAAGGCCGGCAGAAAGAGCTCCGCTGTAAAAACAATATAAATAAATTCAGCCAATGAATGATTATCCCTCGGTACTGCACACCCGCCGTCATAGAATATAAGGCTCGTAAATTCTAAGCGCTCCCAAAAATACCACAATGAGTTGTCGGACATTGTTTATTAGTTGATATTTATTCGCGTCATACTCACAGGCGAGAAATTCACCCTTGAAGAAACTTGATAGGCGAAGAATTAGGAACCAATACTGTTTCTTTCTTAGGGCATTTCTTGGGTGTTAGATGAAACTGGGCTTGACATATGCAATGAATACATGTATAGTAAGACATTCATAAGGGGGATGATATCACCAAGGACTCGACCAACCTGTTGTGCACAACACACCCCCTTAGCTTAGGATTGCGCATCTTCATCGCAATAGCCTTCACGACGCAAGTCTGTAATACCTGTAGCCACGACCACACTTTTGGAGGTCGATGTTTCCGAATGCCAACAGCGCTTAGACAAAGCATTAGCACGAAATGTTGAGTATAGCTTTGATTACGTGGCATGTCGGCTTACACTTCGTGACGTGGTTGACTTTGGCCGGAGCACCGTGTTCTTGCTTCATATAGCTGGTGTTGGCTCACTCGCTGCGCTCCGTAACAGCCAATGGAATTGGGGAAAGATATTCGTGCAACAGTCTTTCATCACCATTGGGAAGCTGTGAGAAAGGCGAGGGCAACCGTAACCAGACTTGATGGAAGATTGATGGCACTCGACGACGGTCGTTTCTTGAAGACCGAATTTGCCTTATCCTGTGACAACTTCGCCTTTGGTGCCTTGGAAGTGGGTTTTGCGGTAGTGGTTTTCGGGGTTTGCTGAGATGAGCTTTGCGATGCGTGCGATGAAGACCTAAAGAAAAAATAATAAAAATACATTGAAAAGATTTTCGTTAAGAACCGTGTGGTTGTGTGCATCTGATTTGATTTAAAGAAGGTAAGATGATTCGACAACTCTCTCCTTGCGGCTCAACAATAGTTATGCGATAAGGAGTAATTGAAAGATTTGAATTCAGGTGGAGTGCGAATTCTCAACAGAACATGAAAATTATGCCATGACCAGCCGGCTCTTTCTTACATATATTTATTTATTTACTTATTTATTTATTTTTTTATTGTACCCTCAAGGCCTTTCGGCATTACAGAGGGGAGTGGGTTACAGGGGGAAAAAGAGACGGGAGTACTAACAAACTTCACTAATATGGAGGTATTGATTCTCAATACGCTTGTTATATCACAGCAGTTACTATCGCACTTTCCGTTCTTAAATAATAAAAGTAAACAACAGTACTTCTAGCGTGCTTTTGTTATTGCAAACAACTTATAAGTACAACCTTTCCCAACTATTATTAAAGTTCGTAGCATATGGGGCGATATCTGGGCTTCGTTTACGCAGTGTAAATACAAACGCCACAATTGGTTCGTGCTGCAAATTGTAAATATCACCTACAACAGTACAAAGTTTCATTCGAGACTTGTACACGGAATTGAGTTTCACGTTACCCTCAAATCTAGATACCTTTACTTAAGTGTACATGTTTATATCTAGATGTCTACACGTCTTTGTACGTACACGTTTGTGGCCGTAACAATCGTCAATAAGGAAGCGTGGGAAAATGCAGAAATAAATTAAATGAGAATAGCTTAACCATTACACTTACTTGCGCAACAGCAACGGCTTCCAGAGGTTGCACCGTGACCTGCGCTGTTCTGCTGTCACGTTGAAGCTGTTCGGCTTGAGGCTTACAAGCAGCGTATTGCTGGTCATGTGCGCGGGCCACTTGTCTCCAGGTGTCACCATTGCAGGCGTGCTACAGAAGAAAAGAAAAAGAACGCGTTGTCAAAACAAAAGGAAAGGTGATTACACCACTTCAGCTGGGGGTAGGGCCCCTTCTCCTTCACATCGTTCTGCTCAAACGTTCTCTTGGCTCAGCCCTGATGACTTTAAGGCTGATAGTTGTTCTTCAGATACAGATTTCTGTCTGTCTGTCTGTCTGTCTGTCTGTCTGTCTGTCTGTCTGTCTGTCTGTCTGTCTGTCTGTCTGTCTGCCTGCCTGCCTGCCTGCCTGCCTGCCTGCCTGCCTGTCTGTCTGTCACGTAATTCAGCTGCTCGTGTGAAGTTTAAGCACTCGCTGAATGCCGAGCCATCTTGAACTGGTGGCTGCGTTCCTATTTGTGAACATCGTCGATCAAAAAGGTACTGTTATGCATATCTGAGGTGCAACATCAATACGTAAGTATTAGGTGGTGTGTTTTTTTGCTATAAAATACGTACATATGTAATTCTACTGACCACAGTGCTTATTGCACTGTGGCATGCATGAAAAAAAAAACGGGTGTTTTTCACGCTGAGCTGAAAATGCTATGCTATGCACGAAAAAGCACTGTGCCGATGATATGGTGCTGCTACCTGGCAGTGGCCCTGTGTTCTGCACAAACTCGTGTTTCCCGATGGCACTGCCAGATGTCATTCACATCTCACTCAGCACGTCCTCTATTTTATTGATGCCAGCCAAATGCGGCTGATTCAACATAGAGGAGGAGCTGTCTACGGCAAGACAAAAAAGTTGCAGTTTCGCGAAAAGGGGCAAACGAAGCAATGAAAACGATAGCAACACATTCGACTATTTACAGAGCAAGGCTAGCATTTTTAGGAGCAATATTAATAGTTGTAGTCAACATGCACTTGCTAAGTAACTAAGTTTCCTGTGGCACAGCCACAGCAAATGACCACAACGAGGCCCGTGCGTAGTGACGGCGTTGATGAGAAGCGCCTCCCGTGGGCAGTGCATGCTGGTAATAAGGGCTATACGTCGTGTGTCGCCGCTGGTGGCAGTTTATGTGTAGAGCGTATCTATATGTGGACGGCCACTCTAGGTACACTTTTGACACGGTTTTTGTTTTCTTTCGCGCTGATTGAGCAGCCCGTAGAAGCTTCCGCCTGCTGTGGGGGTAAGAGCCGCGCGTTGATCGTTGAAGCCAAAGCCCTAGTTGACGCGTGATGTTCGCTCCGCAGAAAAAGGAAACTGACGCATCTTTCCCTCTCTCCCTCTCTCTCTCTCTCTCTCTCTCTCTATATATATATATATATATATATATATATATATATATATATATATATATATATATATATATATATATATATGCCTTATCTTTTGCGGAGCGAACATCGCGCATTTTCGACGCGAACTAGGGCTATCGTCGCTTCAACAATTAGCGCGCGGATATATATATATATATACATATATATTTGCGATGGTGGGGCGATGGCCACGGAAAAGCCGAGAGACTGTCCAATATTGTGGCTATCGTAATAAACCAAACTGCCATTTTTTTTCTTCTAATTGACATTGCCTGCTATATTTTCATGGGGTGCACGGAGGATTAATTTTTCCTACCTCACTATGAAGATCGTCAGCGCCACGGATTCAGCATGCATGGTTAACCGGCCACAGTTATGGTGCTCTATTGCTGACCTGGATGTCACAGGGCCAGACCTGGGCCCCGATTGTCGCACATCGACGAAAGCGAGACGCTAGGGGTCTGTCTGTTGATTTCGATTTAATGTCATGTTACAAAACACAAGTCCGACAATATTACCGGAGCCCTCCACTACAGCAACCCTCATATTCATATTGACGCTCTGAGACTTGGAAATAATTATGATTGGTATTACGCATGGCTACCAGTTTATGTGTCGGAGAGAAATCCTGAAAGCCCTAAAATAATGGCTCCACGACACGAGAATGATTGCTTATAATTGCCCAAATAGGTGTGGCGTATAGTGCTAACGCATATCTGGATAACTACCAAGTTCTTTCCTAAGTGCCACAATATGCGGGACTGATTGTTCGAGCTGCACTTATTGTGGCGCTGAAAATTTGAATTAAACACAGGAATTACGTCATGCAGCAGCACAAACCTTATTGTCTGTACTTGCAATCAAGAATGCTTTGAGACTTATTGAATGAAAGCATAATTGGAAGACACTGTATTGCACTTATTGTAGAAAAAAAAATTAAAATGTCTTAGACACCCAGTAAGAGGCCAACCAACATCATTTCTTTAGGGCGAAGCTTGACTTCAGAAATTCGCAATAATATCTGAGGTTTCTTTGCGGGCTTACACCCCTTCAGAATGATAAGTCAAGCTGAAATGAGGGCTTTTGACAATTTCTCCCACTTGGAATTCTGTAAAACACACTGACGATGCACAATATGAGGACCTTCAGCATGTCACCGCCATTGCAATGGGACCGCCGCGGCTAGCCCGGGTGGAATTCGAGTATTTCAAGTCCAACATTGTGACCACTCCGCCACCGATGAAGTTGTTTCCATAGTAGACATAGAACTAAAACAAGCATATTTGAAAGACGTTGGTATACTTACGAACCCGTATCACCTTGCTAGCTCGAAAATGCACTGCTATACGGAAAAGTAATCCTAAGGGAGCCACACTGGTAACATATAACCCTAAAGCCATTAGAAAAAAAAAAAGCTCAGTCTAGCAAAATGGTAAGAAGTGTTTCAAGATCAAAGTATAAGCAGTTGGCCGAACGTATTTTATGTCACCACATAAAAGAAGGCTAGTTAAACAATAGTGTCGCTTCGTGAACTTCGTGACTAGCCTTCATGACTAGTTTGAAATAACAGGAACATTTTGAATAAATAAAGGCTCTGTGCTAGTGCCAAACTATTTTCATCACATCATCATGCCTCCATCATGTACGCATCTGAAAGAGAAACTACAGTGGAGTCATCAGGTGATGCCTTTGGCCTTACCATCTATCTATCTATCTATCTATCTATCTATCTATCTATCTATCTATCTATCTATCTATCTATCTATCTATCTATCTATCTATCTATCTATCTATCTATCTATCTATCTATCTATCTATCTATCTATCTATCTATCTATCTATCTATCTATCTATCTATCTATCTATCTATCTATCTATCTATCTATCTATCTATCTATCTATCTATCTATCTATCTATCTATTTATCCAACCTGCATTGTATTTCTCACCCCAGAAATGGTTTAGTGAAGTGCGTGACCTGGTGATCATGACAACAGTATTAATCATATATAAATGCCTGATATGCCGCAATTGACCCACGAAAACGCTATAGGCAGAGGAGCTTCTGCCGAGTCGCGTACGTACCCATGTTTCGCAAACGCCGTCCAACTTGCTACTATCTGCTTGACGAACTCCTCTTCGTCTTGGGTATGAGTCTTCTTGAGAACCAAGTCACGAAGGTCTTGTCCAACTGGAGGAGTAAACAGGTTCTCGTCTTTAGGCAGGAGTAACGAACCCATTGTGTAAGGCAGGTCGTCCCCGTGTGTGACGCCTATCCACTCTGGCCAGTAGTTGTCCGAGGCTCTGTGGGCGAATACGTAACGATATGCCTTCACGCCTCGCTGAGTCACAACATCCGCGAACATCAGTGTCGGGCAGTAAATCGTGGCGTCAGCAAAGAGCTCGCAGACGATGTCGATAACGGACTTTCTGTTGTGCTCCACGCTCTGATCTCCGAAGTAGGCAACCGTGATATCGCGCGCGTGGGACAGTGGAATGTTGAACATGGTCTTCAACGCCAGTGTCACGGCAAGACGGTAGTTTCCAGATATGTAGTCTTCAAACTGTGGTGCTACGTTGCGTATGTTGTTGAGGAAGACTGTACCTTCGTCCGTCGTCGTTCCCAGCAGAATCTCTTTTACGTGTAGACTTGCGTACGTTTCGGGATCCAAGGGGTCGTTGGGAAAGAACTGGTCGCCGAAGACCATCGGGAACATCTGCTTGAAAGTGGTCTCCTCCTTCAATTTGGCAATAATGGTGTCAGCTTCAACTTTCCTGAGGCAGTTGACGATGGCGTGGGTCTCCTCCCTCCAGTCTTTCGAGTTGTCGATGCAACCGTGTGCGTTGGCGACGTTCACGAATTGACCGACGACATTGAAACTCATGGTGAGAAACAGCGATAATGGCGTGCTGCTTTCCATGATGATTCGGTTGAAGAGGCCCTTACTTTGCGGAGACGTGGCGTGCAGGCCGGCTGTGATGGCGCCGGCGCTCTGACCTTTGAGCGTCACCATTGTAGGGTCACCACCGAATTTCTCGATGTTTTTCTGAACCCATTTCAAGAGGTGAACCTGATCCCACATGCCAGTGTTACCTGGAAGGTCCGGGTTCTTGGCAGAAAGGAATCCGAACATGCTCACACGGTAGTTGAACGTGACGAACACGACATCCGATTCGGCGACGAACACAGACGGGTCATGTATGAACAAACTCGAATCTCCCCATTGCAACGCTCCGCCGTGTATAAACACGATGACGGGTAGCTTGGCTCCGCAAGACTCGGAGTGGGGACAGCTGGACGAAGGCCTCCACACGTTTGCGTACAGGCAATCCTCCGTGGTAGTGTTGGAATAGTGTAGACGTGTACCCGCCAAAAAGGGCATGTCCAGCTGACGGCATGGCGGTGGCTTGTTGACGGCTTGAAACGTGCCTTCCCAAGCATCGGCAGGCTGCGGCTTCTCGAATCGCAGGTTACCTATTGGGGGCAAAGCGTACGGTATGCCGAGGAACGCGTCTACATCCTTCCCCAACACCGAGATTCGCTTGCCAGCGAGAAGTCCGTTTTCGATCCGCACCAGTGGAGTCTGGGATTCGTCGGCGAGGACACCACTGAGACACGAAAGGCACAGCACGGCAACGCACCACACCGGCAGAGAGACCGAGCTTCGCTGCACTCGGCAGGGTCTACGAAGTGGCTTCCACGACTCCATCCCCGGCAACAGGAAAGGCCGCGCACGCACGCTAAGGCTACTTGGGCTCTTCATCTGTGCAAGGCGAGTGGCATGTGACGATCGCCAAGGTTGGAGTAGGCACGCTGGCGACCTTCATCCCACCGCGACGATACCCGGCGATGCCGCCGAGCGGCGCCGTATTCTCCAATTTCTTCCTCAATTATTCTGTCGCAATCGAGAAGAAAACAAAAAAAGCTGGAGCTCGATTATAGGCGACGAAGGTATAAGAAGAGCACCAGAGAAGTTGATTTGCCCAGGCGCACTACTGAGTTGACTCATCGGGGATCGTTGACGCAGGTGCATAAAGGGGGAAAGGTACACCGGTTGACGTCAGTGAAAAGTTGTTTTATTCCATTTTCTCGAGATCGGCCCAAGCCGTCGGCAGTAATAGTCCGGTGAATGTTGTCTGCATGAATAATGCATCTGGTCGAACGTGTCCGGTGGGTTTATCCGAAGTTCAATTGAAATAAAAAGCGAGAGCGAAGAAACATGGTTGCTAGAGGGCATGTCGTCCGGAAGAACAGTGTATACATAAAAATAAACACTTGAACAGAAGGGGGAAACACTGTACGCGTCTGTTGTATGAAATAAATAATTGGAATATCAAAACTTATACATCTGTACATACATACATACATACATACATACATACATACATACATACATACATACATACATACGTACATACATACATACATACATACATACATACATACATACATACATACATACATACATACATACATACATACATACATATATACATACATACATACATACATACATACATACATACATACATACATACATACATACATACATACATACATACATACATACATACATACATACATACATACATACATACATACATACATACATACATACATACATAAGAGTACGTGTTCAGTTAGGCACATGCAGCAAGCCATTTACGGAAGAGTTTGGCCTGGGGCCAGTTGGCTGTACATATGAAAGTTCTCTCGTAGATATAACGACAGGGAAAAACACAAGCGCAAACTAACGGTTTGCCTTTACGAATTCATGACGCAATATATACATACAAAGAAGAGGGTTAAAGAGAAAGGGTTTTTTCGTGTATATATTTTTTCGTCTCGAATTCGTAAAATGAAGAGTTGTTTGCACTTGTGTTTCCCCTTGTAGTTCTATTAACGACGTCCTTATATTCTGGTTGTGACTGCAAACATTTGATTTATGATAGATCGACTGTTCCATGAATCGTGTAGAAGCTTTACCGACAGTCCTGGTAGAAGAAAAGGCTTTACCGGCATCTTTGGTTCATATAAGGGTGACGCTACATATTTGATGTGAGTGCAATATATAGTTTGCATGGGCAGACACTATAGGTACAAAAATATGTAATCACCGAACAGCATAACTTGAATTTGTTACAGGAATACTTCTTTGCAGAATAGTTGATTCGTACTGAACACGGAAATTGCAGCTTACAAGCAAAAATAAGCAAAAAAAGAGACAGAACGGAGCAATGGGATAGAAAATTTTCCTCTCTGCCCTGTATCCTGTCTCCTTTCTTCCAACTTTCTGTTTGAGCAGCAAGTCCAGTTTTTAGATTGTGATAAATACAAGCTTTCTTTTTATGACGGCGAAAGAGTGCCATAGACGTGGACAGAGAAAGAAAAAAAAGTGCGTGATCTTGTTTGCTTCTTTCTTTGTGGTCTTTTTTTTTGCGCTGGGGGCATGAACAAGCTCAGTTCTATGCTCATTTTAAAGTTCCTTTCATTTCACTGTGCCCTAATGCACCAAGTTAAAGTTAAGTGTTTTATTCATTGCTATTAATAAGCGGACAGCTCATTACCCCGGCCGATCTATGAGCAGCCGTAGTATTACGGTTCACGCGCAAGTAACATTTTCTTAGAAGCACAAGGTATAATTAAAGTCATAGCAATTGTTCCTGGCTACTCGGGCTAGGATTGGCGCTGGCACCTAAGGCCACTGCATTTTTCTTCTACTTTTTTGTATGTAAGACATATCTATGTATCATATATTCATTAGATAGCTTAGTGAAGCATCTGATGTCGTATTTTATTGAGGAAAGTCCACAATGTTTCTCTCCATACCATTTTCAGGCTGTTTTTTTTTCAAATTTTTCCGGTATGCATCTAGCCTTCTGCTGAACCGGATTACATATGCTTCATAAATCATTAAGATGGTCATTACCTATACTTACAATCATTGTCCTGCACAAAGGTAATCATTGCGAAGTGCTCATAGCAATACGACAATTTGCTACTACGTGTCACGCTTGCTTGCTTTCTTCTGCAGTTTCAAGAAGCGGTGGAATAAAGTTTCAGGCCATATTTCAGTTACTATATTAACACAGTACTAAGTTCTTGGTTTTTACGCGTAAAAATTAAAACATAGTTGTGGCGCACGCTGCGGAGGACTGCAGGTAATTTCGACATTACAGAATGCGAGAGTCTTTAGCAATTCCCACCACCCCTAAAATGGGAGGGACCGTCACTACTGGGGTCGAACCCACACCTTTCAGAGCAGCAACCGAGTGCCAAAAGCACCACACCACTGTGGTGGACTTTCTCTCCGGTTATACAAGGGAATGATTAACTGTCGTTAGTCAATTGCCAGCATCTCAGAGCAGAATAAAGTGATCTCTTCTGCAAACCTTGTAGGCTCTCGAAGTGCCTGCCATTAACGCTCTGCGCTAATTTTTCCTAATTTAACCGCTTGATTAAGTATAAGCAGACAATAATTAGCAATGGAAAGCTTGTCTCACTTCTCGGCATTTTTCACATTCTAGGAGCACTTCAGTGTGGGTTAGTTGGTCTATTACTGTAAGTGGAACAACAACGACGACGACGACGACGACAACGACGACAACGACAACCACATCGATGACGACAACGACATCGACATCGACATTGACATCGACATCATCGACAACAACAACATCATCGACATCGACATCGTCGGCATCAACAACAACAACATCGTCGAAATCAACAACAACAACATCATCGACAACATCATCGACATCATCGACATCATCGACAACAACAACAACAAAAACAAAAACAACAACAACAACATCATCATCATCATCATCAACAACAACAACAACATCGACATCATCGACATTAACAACAACAACATCGACATCATCGACAACATCAACAACATCAACAACATCAACAACATCAACAACAACAATCAATCCCATTTTCATTGTCATGTGAAGAATTACGCCAGTTGTTAAATACTTATCTCAATTAGCGGAGACATTTCCATATGCTTCCTGCATTCCCTGACTGAGAAATTACTTTTGTTGCCGCAGCTCAATGAAATGCCGTTTCGCAATCTAAAACCCGTACAACAGTCATGAAATGAATGGAATCTATTCTGAAATATGCTTTCCCGATGCCAGCCTATTTTCTCAAGTTACTTTAGCAAGTGTTTTTAGGAGCGAAGCTCCTTAAGGCGTGGGCTGTGCGTCCCCTGTATGTAGCCACTTCTCGTTCAGTTCTAAGTATTACGCTAGCCACCGCCCGATCTAAAGGGTACAGCCATATCCATCCGTCCATCCGTCCATCCGTCCATCCGTCCATCCGTCCGTCCGTCCGTCCGTCCATCCATTCATCCATCCATCCATCCATCCATCCATCCATCCATCCATCCATCCATCCATCCGTACGTCCGTCCGTCCGTCCATACATCCGTCCGTCCGTCCGTCCGTCCGTCCATCCGTTTGTCCGTCCGTCCAAAAGATGCAAGATGTTATAAACTAGACGGCGGTACGTGTAGTTGATTATGAAAGATGCGAGGTGTTATAAAATAGGAATGATGCCACATATGGCGCGTGTCATCGTTCGATATAGTGTGGCGACGTACGCTAGGGGGAGCGTTGCAATAAAATCGAGTGGGCAAAATGTACGGAGGATTCATGGTTTACCAGGTTTACCTCCGGAGCTTCGCCCACTCATCATCATTCACTTCGTGGATATGGCGGCATTTTTTTCTTGTTACATAGTAGAATTTACTTTGATCAACATTTTATCGATAACACATGATATCTATGTTCACATTATGATGCGTTTTTTTTTGTCAAAGATTGACTGTCATTTCGTTCCCTTAATAGTTCCTGAGCAAGGCTTTCGTGTGGCAATATTTTGTATTTGTAAATGATTCATCTTGTATAAAAGAGGTGGGCTCGGAAGCTATTCCTTACATTCTTTTGATGGAATGTGTAATTGCGGTTTGCCGTGTGTGAAATAAACCTGATTTATCAGGAAGAGAAGATAGTAGCTTTGCTTTTCTTTTAATATGATGCTTAAAAGGATACTGAATGGCAAAATGATTTTTCGCGTATTGCTGAAGTACAATTTCACAAACTCGAAAACACCACTTTAACCACGACACGACACTTGGTTAGCGAGAAAACGCGGGAAAAGAAGTTGCTCGTGGAGACGCCATCTTGAGATTTCCACGCCAAATACTGTGACGTCATCAATTTTTGAAATCGTATACTTGGCTACAAGTAGCTTTTAATCGATAAAATTTAAGTACATTAAGCCTAAGGTGCTATTAATTCAGCATACGAAGTCTCAGAAAATTTCATTGAGCCAATGTCCCTAAAATACGAGAAGTACATTGCGGAATATCTTACGTCATGCGCGGATATGGCGGAGCAAAGTAAAAAAAAAATGAAACGTCAACCTAGATTTTTTTCTGCTAATAATGAACCTATGACAGGAAAAATTGTGACATTAGAGTTTTCAGAGTGCAATTTATTAATCTAAAGGAACTTACTGTTTTTCTTGAGTGTCTCTTTAAAAAAAACGTGCTTCATGCCGAAAATTGCAGTGATATGCTGGTTACAGTATTAAGCCATATGTAGCACAATATCTTAATAGGGGATTCGTGCTAAATGAAACATTTGGTGCGCAATCTTTCACTAAACAAATTACGCATTACATCCTGCTGCCATTTTCCCGCTCACATAAACGTTTACGCTGTAGTACCATATATTAAAAATAAGCGTACATTACCGGTCTTCGGATATGTTTTTCGGAAGATCTTTTGCGTAGCCAGAATTTTCTTTTCTGGTCATAGGGCAGGTGGAGGGGGGGGGGGCGGTTCAACTGTACTTCGCGTATGTTCGTGCGCGTGCAAATTCAAAACAAAGCCCCCCCCCCCCCCTTTACTCCGGGATACACAAGTGCCAGTGGTATACGAATTCGTAATACACGGGTTAATG